GCAGCTCATTGATTCTTCTTGCTCCTCAGTAACTGTCTGCTTGTATGGGAAATATGGGCAAACAGCTATACTGAGAGCAGGGCTGGTGCCATACTATTTTGTTCTCTAGGCAAGACCAGCTATTTGCCCCCCCCCCCCCCCCCCCCAAAAAAAATATTTTTTTTTAAGGACAGTAGCAAATATTAAATGAACAAAACATGAAACTGCTAAATTTCTTTTAATTTGCAAAAATAAGTGCCAAAGGATGCCACCAGCACTAATATTAAAGACAAAATCAGTGTCACAAATGGACTGTATCTGTGGCTGTCAGTGACAGGGTGACAGTTGCAGTGAGTGGAGGATGATGTGTTCACACTCTGACCCATCCCAGGTTGGAATTCCACAGGCAATGGGGGGATAAAATGCTGTGAGGCAGCTCAACTGAGCGATCCCACACAGTGACAGATCCGACACAACACACCACCACCAACATTGACACAGATCAGCAGGCACTAGAAGAGCAGGCTGTGTGATTGTGATGATGTCTTCATTCACTGACACATTGCACATGTGATGGATGGTCGGCCGGTCAGGTATTATCTTCCTCCGCAGGAGCAGCTCCGCCTGTGCTGATGAATGGGAAGAGAAGGGCCGGAACTTCTCTGCAAGCTCCTTAGAAAAAAAAAATAATAAATACACATATTTTTACCTGCAAAAATATGTGCATTTATTATTTTTTAAAAGGTGAACTTGGCCTTTAACACATGTAATCCAAGAGAAAAAATAGAAAGGATGTAAGACTAATCATAAACATCATTAGTAAGCTGTCAATGTTTATTGCCTGCGGTTGCTCTAATACGTGTACATCTCATACACAAACACTGGTCATACTTTCAACACATTCACTGCATAGTGTAAATGCTAAAGCTTAAAAAAAAAAGTGCAATCATTTTGCAATAGAAATAAACAGACATAAAATTTAACCTATAGTTGATCTACATAGGTAACATTTTTTGGCAGGTTTTGTCCACCTGCTTTCATGGCAGCTGTAAAGCGAGCATCTGTCCGTCTTTTTATTGCTTGGGATAGTCTGTTTGATATGTTTGTTCTTTTGGGTTCTTTTATGTAATCTAGCTCATTTAATTCTAGCTCACGGCCAAATAGTTCAATCTAAAAGCAGAAAACATTGATTATTTCATTGAGTTTACCAGAAGAGGTGGCAATACATTAAATCAAATCACACTTTTTATATCAGAAAAATTTTGTGACACTGAAAGTAGACTTAAACTTTAAAATAACAGGGATTCATTTTACAGCTTAATATGACAAAGAAATCAACAACAAGATATACCTGATTAGAAGCAGTAAAGCACTTCTACCTATGACAGTGTCTAGACAAACTTCACTCTTCTGGCCTTACAGGTGCTTGACAGGACTTCAGACATATCTTGCCCACTCCTGTCTATGATGGCAGGGTAACACTGAATGATGCCATTGGGGTTGAAAGCTCCAGGAACAGGAAGACCTATCCAGAGATAGCTATTATATGCACTAATATAGCTGTCATCTCTAAGCCACACTACCCTGAAAATGTGGGCCCATTGCAGCTTCATAACACCTCCTGTAAACGCTGGCCATACAGTGATCGAAATTCGACCAGTTCAGCAGGGACTGGATGAATTTTGATTAGCGTCTGGAATCCCCCACTCAACAGAAGTCGGCCATTAGAGTGATGTCTGTTGAAGGGACATGTCGGAAACTTTTCAATCAGCGGCTGCAGAGCTGATCACTGTATTCTAACAGTGGTAGGTGCAGCTGTCAGAATACAATGTCCTGGCAGGGGTATTCTTCCATCTGCCCCATTTGTATGGATATAGGAGCCTAATAGTTTTTTTTTTTTTTTTGTTCAGCCTGTTGACTGAATAAAAAAAAAAACTAATAGTATATGACCAGCTTTAGCGCAACTGACATATCTCAAACTGTTTGAAGGATCACGTTGCCTAATTCTAGGTCTGCTTTAATCTGCTTAGCAGTGAAAAATTAACATAAATAATTAAATGCTTGCAGTAATTAAGTAGTGGTTCAGGCATGCGGTATTTAAAAAATTAAAAAATATAATAGGCAATTTTTAGTAGTTTCTGCCTTTTTGGATCAGTGCTCTCAACAGTAATGCATTGAAACCTAAATATTGAAATATGGAAATCATTGGGGTTGATTTACTTAAAGAATAAAGAAAACTTTTTTTTTTTTTTTTTACTTTTCAATACAGTGGAGGTGGATTAGAACACCTGTCAGATTTTTATTGCTGTCTGTGCCACTATTGGATTCATTCTATGTATTTGTCCTGTTTACCATCATTGAAAGAGAAAGTAAAAGAAATCCCAAATTTTGGGTTGTCCCCAGAAAAGTAATAGAGGGGGAATCTACCAATGGGGACACAGATAGAAAAAAAAAACTGGTAGGGGTAATAACCATTTCAATACCGTGCAATTTTACACCTTCCTGCCCAGGCCATTTTTCACGTTTCAGCGCTCTCACACTTTGAATGACAATTGCGCGGTCATACAACATTGTACCCAAACTAAAATTTTTTAATCATTTTCTTCACACAACTAGAGCTTTCTTTTGGTGGTATTTAATCACCGCTGGGGTTTTTATTTTTTGCTAAATTAACAAAAAAAGACCAAAAATTTTGAAAAAAAACACGTTTTTCTTTGTTTCTGTTATAAAAGTACAAATAAATAATTGTTCTTCATAAATTTAGGCCGAGATGTATTCTGCTACATGTCTTTGGTGAAAATAACCCAATAATTAGGATGTATTATTTAGTTTGTAGGAAAGTTATAGAGTTTACAAACTATGGTATAGATCTGAAAATTGATCAATCCAGAAGTACTGACAGCCAATCTAATTTCTTGAGGTCCAAGAATGTCAGAACAGTACAGATATCCCCCAAATTACCCCTTTTTGCAGAGTAGACAGTCCGACGTACTTCATAAGAGGAATGGCGAGTTTTTTGAAGTTGTAATTTTTTTGTCATTTTTCGGAAAATAAAAAAATGTACAAAATTATTTTCACTATTTTTTTTTTTACATACTGTCACCAGTGCAGTACAGCGTCATCATATAACTGGCATGGCGGTGAACAGGGACACTGACTGGTGACAGTATGAAAAAAAAAAAAATTTTATTTTTTATTTTTTTATTATTTTTAATTTTTTATTACATTTTTTTTAATTTTTTTTAAGATTTTTTTTTTCATATTGTACTATGACCAAAGTAGTACAATGTTACCATAGTAAAAAAAAAAAAAAAAAAAAATATACTGATCACTGCCCCAAAGTAGTACAATGTTACCATAGTAACATTGTACTACTTTGGGGCAGTGATCAGTATTTTTTTTTTTTTTTTTTTTACACAATTTGCTTATAGCAAAGAATTACTTTGCTAAAAGCAAGCATTTACCTGAATGAAATCGATTAATTCAGGGTTTTTTTTTTTTTTTGTGCTTAGCTGTGATTTGGCCACAGCTAATCACATGACATGTGCATGTGACCTGCTGTGACCATTCACAGCTAGGCAGTAGTATACAATGGATGGCATGAATGAAGCCATCCATTGTATACAACTGTCATGTGACCTGCTGTGATTGGTCACAGCAGGTCACATGGTACCAGCAACGGGGGCCGGTACTCAGATCTGTCATCGGCCGTGTCCGAGGTACACGGCCGGTGACAGATCGCGCCGCTGCGAGGCTCTGCATTACCGCAAACTGCGCATGTGCCGGAATGCCGCAGCACTTCTGAAGCCGCCAAACGGCCATTGGCCGGGCGGCTAATGGTTAACCCTCCTTTACTCTATCCAACATAAAAAAAGTTGCCTATAGTTCTACTTTAAGGCAAATAGACTGTACAATTTGCAAGTTGCTCCTGAACTTAGTACATGAGGTAAACTTCACTTTACAAAGAATACCCAATTACATGCAAGGACTCTAGAGCAGTGGAGACGTGTTCTCTGGAGGGCCGAATCACGCTTCTCTGTCTGGCAATCCGATGAACGTGTCTGGGTTTGGTGGTTGCCAGGAGACTAGTAACTGCCTGACTGCATTGTGCCAAGTATAAAGTTTGATGGAGGGGGGATTACGGTGTGGGGGTTGTTTTTATGGGTTGGGCTTGGCCCCTTAGTTTCAGTGAAAAGTTCTCTTAAGGCATCAGCATACCAAGACATTTTGGACAATTTCATGCTCCCAACTTTGTGGGAACAGTTTGGGGATGGCCCCTTCCTGTTCCAACATGACTGCACACCAGTGCACAAAGCAAGGTCCATAAGGACATGGATGAGCAAGTTTGGGGTGGAAAACTTGACTGGCCTGCACAGAGTCCTGACCTCAACCCGATAGAACACCTTTGAAATCAATTAGAGTGGAGACTGCAAGCCAGGCCTTCCCATCCGACATCATTGCCTGACCTCACAAATGCGTTTCTGGAAGAATGGTCAAACATTCCCATAGACACACTCCTAAACCTTGTGGAGAGCCTTCCAAGAAGAGTTGAAGCTGGTATAGCTGCAAAGGATGGGCCAGCTCAATATTGAACCCTAAGGACTTAACCACAAGTCTACAGGGCAATTATACCCCCTTCCTGCCCAGGCCAATTTTCAGCTTTCAGCGCTGTTGCACTTTGAATGACAATTGCGCGGTCATGCAACACTATACCCATATGAAGTTTTTATCATTTTTTTGTGACAGAGCTTTATTTTGGTGGTATTTAATCACCTCTGGGTTTTTTATTTTTTCTTAAACAAACCAAAAACCACTTAAAATTTAAAAAAAAAAAATTTTTCTTAGTTTTTGTTATAAAATTTTGTAAATAAGTGATTTTTCTCATTCACCGATGTGCGCTAATGAGGCTGCAGTGATGGGCACTGATAGGATGCACTGATGGACACTGATAGGTGGCACTGATGGGCACTGATGAGGAGGCACTGGTAGGTGGCACTGATGGGCATTGACAGGCATCACTGATGGGCACTGAAAGGCAGCACTGATAGGCAGCACTGACAGGCGGCACTGACTGGCACTGATAGGCGGCACTGATAAGCGACACTGACTGACACTGATAGGCGGCACTGATGCACACTGATAGGCGGCACTGACTGGCACTGATAGGTGGCACTGATTGGCAGCAATGATAGGTGGCACTGATTGGCATTGATAGGTGGCACTGACTGGCACTGATGAGTGACACTGAAAGGCAGCTCAGATGGGCACTGATATGTGGCATTGATGTGCACTGGTAGGCACTGATATGTGGCATTGATGTGGCACTGATGGGCACTGGCATGTGGCACTGATGAGCACTAACAGCTGGCACTGATGGACACTGACAGGTGACACTGCTGGGGCTACACTGATCATTAGGGCACACTGATCATCAGTGCTCTGATGATCAGTGTACTTGTCCCCTCCGTGGAATGCCAGTTGCCGGCTCTCCTCTCCTCTAGTGCTGTCAGGTCGAGAGGAGAGAAATGCAGATAACCTGCATTCCCCTGTTTACATGTGATCAGCTGTGATTGGACACAGCTGATCACATGACCGAGCTGACATCTTCGGCTCTTTCCATGGATCGGTGATCCGCTGTGTCTGAGGGACACAGCGCACCTCCGATCACCACGCTGTGTGCTCCGGGAGCCGCGCATGCGCGGTTAGAATGGGAGGATGTCATATGACGTCCTCCCAGAGCGAGAGAACCACCTTGTGTCTGTCATATTACTATATGGCGGGTGGGACGTGGTTAAACCAGGAATACACGGTAAAAAAACTGTACGAAAAACTTTGTTCATCAAATGATTGACCGATTTTCTCTTGTTGATCAGCAGGTTTTATCCCATTTTTTCTTATATATATATTTTATATATATAATTTTATTTTTCATTTTAATCATTGCACAAACTGATTTTCGAATTACCCTTACGAATATTTAATATTTAACATTAAGATTCCGTATGTAGTATCCTATAATATTTTAATACATAGGGGTTACCATATTATCTATATTTATTTCATTTATTCTCTTTAAATTGTTATTTCTTAATATTCTATTCGCCATTATTTTGGTTTTCCCACATTTTTTGATTTGCTATATACATTTGGAATATATGTTTGTGTGCTATACATATGTATATATTTCTATTTTTAACATGATATATGAATTTCCGACAGCTTACCCCTCTGATTGTAGGCAGTATGTTGCATGCCCTAATTATCAGCCGTGTTTTGTCATAGGTTTTTATTATAATGATTCTCCCTACAGGAGAGCTTACACCATTTGGGCAGCATATCACTATAGTTTTAGCCGACTATTATACCCCTCTGATATTTTTGAGTGAATGTGGAATCGTTCTCCTCTCTTCTGCAAGCCTGTCACAGTTTTCATGGAGACAGGAGCTTGGCTGTGTTTACCATAAACCGGACTACAACTTCCGCACTCCGGCAAGATGGCGCGGGTAAACCACGCATGCGCAGTATGCAATTTGCCGGCCCGCATGTTTCACGCATGCGCAGTGTGCTGGAAGTCGGTGCGAACGCACTGCGCATGAGCCAGCGTCTTTATCATTCATTTAGCAATACAGACTATATATATGTGACGCACGGCACAGGCGTGATGGCTATCCCTTGCTGAGGAAGTGCAATTGCACGAAACGCGTCCAAGGGGCCATAATGCCGTGACGTTAAGTCACCAGCTCCTGTTATAGGTCCGATGGCCTCCTTTACATTTATTTACGGTCAGTGTACTTTTATATGCCAATTTTGATTTTATCACTTCTTTTTACCCACGTGGATTAATAAATTTATCGAAATACTACACTATGGACTATTATTTTTGTTGACTCCTTTGTGAGCCAACAATTCATCCCCAGAGCCCTTACTCCATGGCATAGGAGGTATTCCCATATTGCTGACATCAGCTACTACTACCAGAGGAAAACGCCAGGTCTAGTGCGATTGTATCCAAGCTGTGTATCTGAGAGGCTTCCACGGTGGTATTTGGGGCTATCCCAAGAGAGACGACCACTAACCAGACCAGACCAATACCAAGAGGGGGAGAGTCCGTTATTAGCGGTTCAGCTCATCCATCCCATCCTTTGAGGGGGACCTCTGGTTATTGATTATATGCGTATATAAAGATACGCATCTGGTGAGTGCGTATTTTAACTATTCTATCACCTTGCCACCTGGAACGTGAAGTCACCAATATCTCCTGTATCCATCACTTATCACAGACTGTCACCATTTTAATACATTTACTTAAGCATACTGGGATTATTTGTTCAGCTTGTTCTATGGATTGAAACTATTTATCTATATTTGTTTTAGCGCTGCACTTTCTTTTTAAGTATTTTATGAGGTTTTATTCTGGTTGCCTTTTCGTGCTTTTAGCTGCTATATTACCACCAAGCGCTCACTGAGTATTTTGTTTTATTCTAGGTTGTTATAACCAATAACGATACTGTGAACGAAAAAATCCAGTTGAACAACAGTGAAAAATGTTGTTTCGCATGCAAACAACCAATTTTCTATGCGGTGGTATGATGGTCGTCCGAAAAAAATCTATCAAGTGCTATCATGCATGAGCGGAAACAGAAGATGACTCCAATGTTTATGTCCAAGGATCCATAAATCCAATTTATTCCAATTATGTCCAAGAATCCATAAATCCACTAAATCCATAAATCACTTGTTCTGGGCGGCAGGGCGTTGAATGCTCTGAAGCGCGTGGTTACAAGGTCACACGCACACTGCATCACTTCCACTTGTACGGAAGACGTCAACACTACGTATTGCGCGATGAACGATTTTTTTTTGATTGGTTAATGTGGGCCACGATTACGACCAACAAACGAACACCGAACGTCGTCGGATGACCAATTGGTTGATTTTCTTACCGTGTATTCCTGCCTTTAGACTGGGATGCCATTAAAGTTCATGTGTATGTAAAGGCAGGCGTCCCAATACTTTTGGCAATATAGTGTATGTGTGTGATCTTTGAGACTATTTTCATTCTACGTTAGACATTTCTAAAGATATTTTGTATTTACTTTATTTAACATAGTTGTTTTTTATGTGTCCTGTGAAAGCAGTTTTCCATTGACTGGTATTTCAGTCACATTTTTTCTTTTGTAGTACTACATATGTAATACATATGTTGCAGGGACTGCACTGACTTAGTGAGTTGGCATATTGCTACGGTTTACCTCTTTATTAGCAATAAAAACTGACAGGGTTCTAATTCTTGTCTACTGTATCCATTCATTTTTTGTGAATTGCAAAAAATAGTTGAAAAAACGCTATGAGGTATTTTACTGGCAATTTTAAAGAGGAAAATACTGCTTTGTTAAAGGAGCCCATTGGGAGCAATTATGTCCCTTCATCGATGTCACTGGGAGGAATTATGTCCTATTGTTGGTATCGGTGGATGAAATAGTGCCCCATGGGCCTCATAAAAGCAAGTAAAGGGCTGCATCTGGCTGCAGTTTGGAGACCATTGGCCTAAGCCCAACTATGATCTGTTGATCCCTGCATTTAAGCATACCTTGGCAAAATGGGTTCTCACAATGCTTGTGTGATAAGAGTTTGATTGGCTGTTGGACAAAGTAGACATGCGAAAGGGAGGCTAGGCCTTAAATTGGACCACTAAATGTTCACAAATGTTTTACTTTTGAGCAAATGGGCCACATCTGGGATCTATGCTTGGCACCAACACTATCATACCCCATATCTAATATGTACAGCAGTATTTAGTATATGCATCATTACAGTCCATAAACATAAATCCATACCTCTGCATTCTTAACATCTTCTTTGTAGTTTTTCTGGTGTTTTCTTGTAATTCCATTCAAAGTATCTTTTTCTGCTACAGTTCGGCCATTGATGACTATGAAAATAAAAGTAAAATTACACAAAAAGTTTAAGGTAATTTAAATAAAAATGTTTTGTTTTTTTTAAAAAGCATTGAAATGTGAAGTATGTTTCCTAGTTAGCAATATTGTTTTGAAGGTGAGCTTTAACCAAGCAACTAGTTACACAGATGAAACACATATAGCATAGCTAAGCTTTTTGTACCTGGTAAAATATTTTTATTTTTGTCCATCCAGTCCTTGGATTTACACAGCCTTGTCACGCAGCACAGTCTTGCTTTGCAGAACAGGAGACCTATTTTTCTGCTGCAATTTCTGCCTCCCCCCACTTTCTAACTGGATAGTGAAAGGAGAAGCAGCATACTGTTTTGTCAGGGAACACCTGAACAATTAATTTAGTCAGCTAAAAGTGCCTCCAAATATAAGTATAATTTATAAAAATAATATAACTAATTATTTTGAGTAAATCATACTCAAACAGAACTCTTTTAAGGACACAAACGAGATTAGTGCGAGTAAGGACTGGAGATTATTAAATAAATTAATATTTATTTACATAAGTCACTTACAAACACAATAATTAATAGTCAGATTGTGATATGCATAGACACTAAGATATTTGCATAAAAATTCTAAAATTGTCTGTAACAACAAAGCAGATATATACTGTAGTGATTTAAATCCAATAATTAATTTCTCCCTGTAGACAAAATAACCAATGATAACTAATTATCAGACAATAGTCTGTGTTTATCTTTCTCAAAGATTATAAAAAAAGGCAAGCACTGGTCACACAGGCTGTCAGTTGTTTCATCCACAAGTATTACAATGCACCGATCTGTCAAATAAGGTTTTGTTAGTTCTTAAATATATCCTAGTCTCAATGTATTAAAAGATACTCTCTCCTTGTGTGTATGCATACATGGAAACTCTGACTTAATTACTGTTCCCAATTTGGTTGTAGACCAATATTGTCTATTGAGAAAGTTGACACACTCCTTTGGCCTCTTTGAAATCTGGTTAAGATAAGTTCACCTTTTAACAAAAATAATAAAAGCATGTTTTTTTGCAGGTAAAAAAATGTGCATTTATTATTTTTGTTTCTGGAGCCAGATGTGGCCCTTTGCCTACTTTTATCTGGCCCTTGGGGCACTATTTTTCTCCACCGATACCAACAATGGGGCATAATTCCCCCCACTGACACCATTAGAGGGGCATAATAACTCCCAATGACAGGTCACAATTTCTCCGAATGACACCAACAACGGGGCCCAATGACAGTAAAGATGGGGCGCTATTCCTCCCAGTGATACCAAAGATGTGGCATTGTTTGTTCTGCAGAAGTCAGGACTCTTTCTACTCCCAATAGTCTGGCCACCCTTAGGTCTGAAGGACAGTAAACCTCCCCTTTGTTTAGAAAGTTTGGAGACTCCTGCTCTAAAGCATTGCACCAGCGATCAGTAGATAGCTGGTGCCAT